CTCTCTCTCTCTCTCTCTCTCTCTCTCTCTCTCTCTCTCTCTCTCTCTCTCTCTCTCTCTCTCTCTCTCTCTCTCGTTGCGACATGGACGTGTGTGCGACATGGACGTGTGTGCGACATGGACGTGTGTGTGCAGACGTACTGTATAAGGGTGGTCGATCGATGCGAGGAATGAATGACTGCATCTGTGAATGACGTTCATACAAGTAAAATATTAGGGAAATAATGAAAACATGCCTTGCATGCATCAACTCTCACAAAGCGTTTGGCCATGCACTCACAATACTTGCCCCATCCGCCCGCGTGAATGTCCTCATCCTCATTGTCTGTGGTGTGCAGTACAAATGCCAACGACGGATACAAGATTGTGCAAAAGAGGATGGACAATGCATCTCGCAACTTTGTCTTTATCTGAGAGGGAGATGGCAGCACTAGCGCATATCATTCGCGAATACGGGAAAAGGTATCCCGTTGTCAGCACACAAGATGCGCACAATAACGAAGTGTTGCAACTCACTCGCAACGATTTCCTTTTACTCGCCGTCGAACAACAGTGGTTAAATGACAACGTGATCAACTTTTATCTCAACCTCGTAGCATTAGACAACTGCTGTAGAATACAACACGTAGAATGCGACGCGGATAATGAGATAGTCATTAGAGAAGGAAACGGTCGCATTCCCATAGTATCAGTGTTGAAAGGTCTTGGTTCAGCCACTCGGAAAGCGTGCACACAGGCAGTCTCACGCCCCCTCCCTCTTAGTGCATTCTCGTTTTGTTTACCTGCTCACTTATTTTCTCCTCAACCCGCCCGCTCACTTTGTGTCTAACAGCTCATGTAGCCCTTTGTTAGAAGAGCTTCCACTCCTCCCCAACCTCTTACTCATCCCTTCACGATGGTCGATAGCACTCGTTGTGATGCGCCAAGTACAAGGTTCCCTCTCACTTTCCCTCGCTGGAACTCACCTACTGCCCAGACCATCTAGTAAGTAGCTCACACCCTCATGATGACTGACACTCAACCGTAGGCACGGGCGAGCTCTGTAGAACGTTTGCGCTCGCAGCGCTCACCAGGCTTGTCCCATCTCTCACGCTCCAGTTCAGACTTCAACCCTGTCCGACACATTTCTGTGGGCGGGGTACACCAGGCACACTTGTTTGGCCACTCGCCCGAATGTCCCCCCCTTTCTGGTGTCTGTCCTGGTTATATGTGGATTCCTGCGCCAGGCTCAACGCTCAAGCCCCGTGCTCAAGAACTAAGAGATACCGGCCCCCTTCGGATCCACCCCGAACAGACACCGCAGCTGCAGGCCCTGGGCCAAGAGAAAAAGGTTCAGTCCTTCTCGGCCAGTGTAGTCCAGCGGTCGAGGACCTCACCAATACCCGCGGTACCAAGGCCCGGATAAACGCAGCGGCACGAGCTATAAGGCCGTACCACGGCTACTGGCTCTGCGCAGATACGGTGGCACCAGCTTTAGGCCCACACAATCCTCCCCGCACTGCCCAACCATGCACCAGTTCTCACAGGGCCAACGCCTTCTCCTCGTTGGCTAGTGATCGCACAGTCTCTGCCGCTGGTCCAATTACAATGATCTAAAGACAGGCACTGAATCTGAACAGGGTGGCATACCGCAAAAAAAACAGTATCCCAGTCATCCCAATGTAAAACACCACAACCAATATCATACCATAGCAGTTCTGAAGGGAAGTAGAGCACCGTTCCCAGGAGTTCCGATCCCGCACCGCTCGCCAGACCAAGAAAAACAGAACCGAAGCCGGAACATATTGGTCCCAGACCTGACATTCCAGCACTAAAATTCACGAAACTAATCTCCCCAAGCTGCCTGATCTTCACGAAGTATCTCAGATCATATCACGAGGCCGGGAACCCAGTCAATGCCGGTCAATGCCGAACCTGAAATAACCTTCGACATTGCTGAAGCCCATCCCGTATCATCATGGAGCCGATCCGGGAGTACATCTCTACTGCAGTGACCTGTACCTTACCGATGACGAACCAATTCCGAACTAGAAGCACGTCGAACACCGCGCACCGTGGCAGTCTTGTGAAACCACCGAACCTCTTTCTGACGAGTGTACCACGGACCCGTTGCCGCACAGTACCAACCCAAGGCGGAGCACCGTACCGTATCAAATCCGAACCTGAATAGCCTGTAACACACCGATGTTGATCTTGTACCGAACCTGAATGTCGTGCCTACATACCGAAACTTGACCCATGGCGACGTCGAGATAGCACTGAACGTGAAATAACCCGCCGAGAAGGTTCCGAACCTGAAATAAACTACCGTAGTGGTCCCAGACCTGATAATAAATCACCGCAGCGGTTCCGAACCTGAAATAAATCGTCACAGTGGTCCCTGATCTGAAAATAAATCACCGCAGAGGTCCCAAACCTGAAATAAATCGTCGTGAGGGCGTCGAACCTGAAACGAAACACCACGATGCCACCGAACCTGACCAGACTCAAAATCCAGTACCAGGCTGCTGTGCCACGAGGATGCCAAACCCGTACAACCATGCCATGATAATTCCGCAACTGTCCCGAACCTGAAACTAAGCCACCGTAGTGAAACAACTGTCACCGGGCCCATACCGCATCTGAAACACGCCAGACACCGTAGTACGAAGCCACTCCGTAACAACCCTCGTATCCGTACTGAACCAAACACCATAGTCGACCTAAGGTAGCACCACCCCATGCTGTCCATGCGACTCCCGCTCTCAAAACATCCCAAATGCGGTAATGTTAGTAATCAAGCAAACCAGGGAAAGCGACGCAGGGAACCTCGACCATCGGCAGTAGTGAAAACTTTTAAAATCCGGGGAAAATATTCAATCCGGGGTCAGAGCTAATGGCGGGTAATCGAGGCGAAATTAGGCCAATCTCCTAATAATCATGGGTTCCCGTTCCTTTCATCATTTTTCATCATTCTTCCCTTTCCTTAATTCTATTGTTGGAAATAGTAAATTAACTGTAAGATCCTCAAAATAAAATTCCGAGAAAGTTTAAATAAATGACCGAATTCCTTTTGTTTCTTTTCTCTTTTACCATTTCTAAGCTTTTTCTATGTTTTTAATTTCATTGGCGGGAACATAAAATAACGAGGGTATTCCTCCTTGAATTAAATGCCACAAAAAATAAAGAAATTAAGGGATATTATGTTTTTCCCTTCTCCCCTACTGGTCGTAATCCCTTTTCCCCATCTTTAATTATGGTACTAAAATAGACAAAAATTTGAGGCCTCATTTCGGCCCCGGTCGTATGCCGCCAAAAATGTGGCTGCGAGGTCAGTTCCTGCGATGCCTCCCCGCGGCAGGCCAATCCGGGTCTAACCCTCTGATCGGCCGGAAATGACGGTCCGTTGATGTGCCGAGTGCGACCCCCATCTCGCCATCTTTGAGGGTTACCCGTAAGGTTCAGCGCGCCCGAATTCAAGGGCGCCCTGAGCTCCCCTAATTTCCGCTGCCTGGTCTCTGTCTCTTATACACATCTAGATGTGTATAAGAGACAGCATTCGTGCAGCTGCCCAGTGGGAACTGTGGGATGGTGGGACGGTGATTCAGGTTATTGTCAACATAAATGAATTCTTGCGAGGTTTGTTGAATCATACACTGTTCTGGATTGTTGAGTGTCTCTCGTGCGGCATTTGTCGGGATAGAGACGTGGTGCGTCTTGGTTGTCAAATGCATTATCTGTGTCAGTACCATTATCAATCCATTGCGACTGCCGCCGTACGTGCGGAAGGGTGTCTAACATTTCCTCATTATGCACATCCCTATCACCCTGATCTACGTTGTCCTTTCTGTTCCCAAGGACGCTATCAGAACTGCATGATGCTGCACTGTGACGAGCGTCCTGCTGTTTTCTTGACATGTGGGCAACATGTTCTCTGTCGGGATTGTTTCGATGGGATGGTTCGTGCTAGCCGTCCGGCTGAATGATGTACTAGTGCAACTCTCCTTGGGTATCCCTGTGAACATCCCCGTCATCCTCACCGTAGTTATCCTATCTGCCGAGGGGTTGACAGATGAAGTGTAGAAGAAACCGATAAAAAAAGAAACCGAGTAAAAAGATAATAAATAAATAAATAAAAAAAGAAACCAAGGAAGGAAAAACACACAAAAAAAAAACCTGAGAAAAAAAAAAAAAAAATTCTGTGGGATGTGTCACTTGCTTCGTCTGTTTAATAGGCTTTCTATTTATGTGAGGTTTGGTTTCCTCCGCCTTTTCTTTACCTCTTTGCCTTTTGGCTGCCTGCAAGTGGGTCTTTGTGACACAAGGGGATGGGGGCAGCCAGGGCTACTCCTGTCATCCACGTGGCTGGCCTTGTACGTAAGAGGTGACGAACAGGTGGGGCTTTCCTTCCTACTTTTTCTTTTTCTTGTTCTGTCTTTTTCTGCCTTTGCGCTCCGATGTCCAGTGTGACAAATATATATATATATATATATATATATATATATATCGTCACAAATAGAATATATATATATATATTATATATGTATATATATCGTCACAAACAGATA